ACCCCAGACACCACTCACCAAAGTGTGATGCAGAACATTTTCTTAATAAACTTTGTTATGCCAATTGACCTAGACGTCCCCTGAAACCGTGGTCCCCAGACTCCCGTCCCTGCTACTCTGTCCCTTGAAGTGTTCGGTTGTATTCAGGAAACTTCTTAGCTTTGGTTTAGTCCAGGTGTTAAGTGCACATTTTTAATGGGAAACAAAACAGACTAAAGGCAGAGTGCACAAAACAACTGAAGAAAGATCACCTCACAATTTTGAGCAACTTCTTACCATTTTACCAAAATCAAACATATTCTGATCACTGGGTCAGACCCCAGTGAAGTGATTCTCCCTCTTATCAAAATTAAACATACCATGGATTTGTCTGGCAAAATGAATGATCAAGAACAAAGTAACTAAGTAGTAAGGCCTGAGAAAGCATATTCAACTCTATCACACAGCTATGAAGACATATGTCTGTGTGGTTTTTTATCAGCTGCTTCACTAGAAGTGGCTAATATGAATGAATGGGATCATTATCAATGATCTATGCACCAGGGGTCAGATGCATATGAAAGAAACTTTGTGATCAATAAATTTTATTGAAAATTGGAATTCTGTGTTCATGCTTTGGTCTAAGCCTTCGCTTAAGGACTTGCAATTATAGGAATAATATTGGCAAGAAATATTTTATGTGAAGGGGAGATCTTATAGGCGAAGACTCTGACACTTGTAATAGTTTTTCCTTTCTCATAGGAAGTAAATGGAATTAACAGGCTGTGACCATAGGCTCTCGCATGCCTTTAGTGAACACTGCTGGTGACTCCTTAATATCCATCAACGCCAGGCTGTTTAAGCCAACTGGCCCATGGCATTCCCTTAGGATACATCATTGTTCCAGGGGTTGGGTGTTTGTCTTAACTTGGCCTGATCAGACACAGCAGAGGAGAATTTAGAATCCATGGCTGGAGAAAAGTTTTCTTCTTGCTCCTTGAATAAGGAAGCAAATAGTCCAATTGTCATTGACAGACATCTTGTGACCACAAAGGAAACTTTATGGTCACAAGATGCCTTAGGGTGAAGGATGGAGGAGAATTAACTATTCCTGGAGGCTGGACCATCTCTGAAATTCCTGATGTGTGAGATAATAAATGCTCTTACTATTTAAACCAGGTTGAATAAGGGCTTGTTATTGGCATCTGAAAGCATCCTGATTCCCTGCCAGCTACTTCACAACATGCCTGTTATAAAAATGATTAGGACTGGGTGGATTATCTATACACAGAAAAAACAAACAAACAACGGCAAAAAAATGATAAATGGCTTTAGTGTAAAATTATTTCTGAAGAGGTAGGCACTTATAAGGATTAAGAAACTCAGACTTCATTGGAATTATAAATAGCCAAAGGTTTATCATGGAATCATTTGCCGTATGAACCAAATACCATTCACTACCAGATTTTAGTCCTTTAAATTTCAATTAAGCCACAAGAAAAGCAATTTGATGAACTTTCTTTTTTAATATATCAGGGTTGTGAGCCCAAGTCTAACTTCCTACATTTATAACCTGAGATTTTGCCAATGGCACTCATCAAGAGGGCAACATCAGGGGCTCAACATCAATTCTTATCATGAGCTAGGCCCTCACTGCAGAGGGAGGAAATTGCAGCTGGAAACATCTCATATTGAGACAGCCCTCCCTCTCATAGGGCAACTGGAAGCAGAACAAAGAGGAAACAATCATAAACCACACTGATAGTGAGTTTTAATTAAGATGGCAGAGTAGATAATGCAGCCCCTTCCTAACCCCCCCCCCCACCCCCACCCCCAACAGGGGCAGAACCGGATGGAGTAGTCATCCCCACCATTCCCCTGTCCCCACTTCACTGTCACAAAATTGCTGGTCCCAAAACATTCCTTTCTCTTTGGGCCCTGGGCTCTTCCCAGCCCTCTGCCGTCTACAGACTGCTCCTCTTGCAGATTCATCCAGCAGAAGCAGCAGGCTCTGGCGGGGCTGGGAACTCTGAACATCCTGGTCCTCCTCATAGAGATACAGTCTCAGAACTGTCAAAGGAGCCAGATGAGATGGAGGCAAATTCCTTGTTCTTACAGGGCTGCATCTGAGCAAAGAGCCCACCCCGAAGTTACAAATCCTGTCACTTAGACTCTTTCCCACAGCCCAAGATGCCGCCACACAATAAATGTCTCCCTCAGGAGGCTCCAAGTGTTCTTGAGTCTCCAGCTCTCTTACAATCCCTGTGCTCACAGAAGATACTGCAGAGGGCACCTGCAAGCCTTCAGGACACATACATTATTTCCCATTTCCAGCTCCAGGTTCTGTTCAGTTCTGCATCTTTTAAAAAATAAATCCTGCCATTTACCTGTATACTCAGCTTTTTTTTTCTTAACAAATATTCTTCTCTGTCTTTTTCCATCTTCTCCATTGCCTCTTCAAGGCATTTGTTTTGCAATTCGATTTCTTGTTTCTCCAAGTTTATCTTGGTATAAGTGTCGTTTATGTAAATAGTTGCAGTGGCTTTTTTTTCCATCATGTCATTGAGTGACAGGATAAACTTTTCATGCTGCTTCACTAATTCCTCTTGCTTTTTCCTAGGAGGAAATAATCATTAATGGCATGAAAAATATAGGTGGTAGGAAAGAAATTTATAGTCTGGTGAGATAAATCACCTTAAAGCGAGAAATTGTAAAGGATACTTACTTTAGAGTTGTGCTTGTAATTGTCTAAACTCCTTTGAGATGAAGACAGAAGGAAACACAGAACAAGTGTCAACCTTGCAATTGTTTTCCACTGCAAGAATATCTGCATAGCCCTGCCTCTCCCACCCATCCCCGAGGACCATGGCAGGGTTCAGAGAGTGACTATGGGGTATTTTGGTTTAAAGTATACAATGATTCAAAAATAGTTTTGACTAGGTTAGTGAGATCTGGCCAGATAAATGTTTTGATATGTAGTATTGCCTCATCTGTCTTATCATCCTAAGATAAAGTAGTTAAGCCAAAGAAAGATAGACATCCCACTACACCTCCAGCGAACTTCTGATGCAGGGGGGCACAGGAAAAAGTCAGGCTTCCTCTGATGACAGAAGTTAGGGGAGGGAAGGGTACTCTTAGAGGGCTGAGTCCATCTCCACTGTTCAGAGGATACTTGAAACCCATCATGAACCCTCTTATCTTCTCCCAGCCACAGCCAAATCTGGGTTCTAGAGGAGACAACCTCACACATCTACTACTGCCCATATTCATCATGAGGAAAACTTTAAGATCATGAGAAACACATACCTCAGAGTTAACAACAACAACAAAAAATTTGAAGGAGAGACATTTGGTGCCATTTCTGTATTTTCCTTTTTAAAGCCTCCACAATATAAAGGCGTTTTTCCACTTCCTAGTGACCAGGGTTTCATTCCAGCGAATCATGTGTGAAGGCCCAGTGAAATGGAAACAGGCTGTTGGTGAGTTTAGTTTCCAGAAGTCGACTCCACAACAGAAATACAATAAAAAGAGGCCAGCGATTTTCTGTTTTGTTTTCTACCTTTAACTGGGGATACAAAAGGCACCTCTCCCAGGACAAGGGGATCAAGAACACGTGGGCCCCAATGCCTGGTGGGCCTGTCAGGGAGGAACAGAGAAAAGATGGCTGAAAAAGGCAATGGAGGTGGTGGCGGGTGTCATGGGTGCCGTAGGCATCCCCTAGGCCTCAGCTTGCAGCCCGGGGCTGGGCTGGTCTTGTCCCCAGCATGCACAGCTTCGTACCTGGACAGCCTGCACCTCTGAAAAGAGGCACCACACCCTGCCTCAGGGCTCCACGAGGCAGGAGCTGGGGGATGGACGAGAGGCTGTGGCAAAGGGCTTCTCTTGTGCCCAGCTCCCAGCAAGTCCTGGCCCGGCAGTGTGGGCCCAGGAGAGGGCTCCTCTGGGTATGTGCTCATGGACGGGGTCACCCAGGATGGGGAGAGTCACACCAGGGCATCCAAGCAGTCAGTCTGACGTGGGGCCTCCCAGTTCTTGGCAAAGTCGTAGTGGTTGGTGGGAGTGGGGAAGGAGACAGAGGTGGCCAGGCTTCTAATGGAGAACCAACCTGTTCCCTGATCCATCTAGCTGTCTCCCCACTCCTAGGCAGCGTGGCCCAAAGTTGAATTGGCAAAAGTTGTGTGATAGATATATTTACAAAAAAAAAAAAAAAAGAGTAGCTGCTGAGGCTGCTTATGTACCATCAAACACCTCATGGGACTTGCTTCATTGGTTTGGAGGTTTAGGGTCATGGTTTCATGGGACATCCCAGTTAACTGGCTTAATAATATGTTCAGTGCTTCTGTTCTACCTCCTAGTTCACTGCCTTGTGCCTGGGGTCTTAAAAGCTTGCAAGCGGCCACTCAAGGCACAATTGGTCCCTATTAAAAAAAAAAGAGAGAAGCCTGAGATCGAGGCTGAATAAGGGGGTCAGGTAGGGAGTGCTCTGTAGCTCCAGCAGAGGAAGCCTTCTAAGAATGAATCAGCCTGATGATCAAGTTTATGTAGCCTCAGAGAAGCATAAAGACCAAAATAAATTAAAAAATCAAATTAAGTGTTTTATGATGGTTGAAAACTAAAGAGCATCCCAGATCGCATGTGGAACCTGAAGAAAACACATCCAAATAGCTGGAATGAATCCAACTTTCAATGACTGTCCAAGAAAGGAGTTGTGATCACCACAAAGTTGTGCACATCGTAAGCATGTAGGCACCTTTATATATATATGTATTTGTTGTTAGGTGCCATCAAGTCAGTTCTGGCTCACAGTGACCCTATGTACAACAGAATGAAACACTGCCCAGTCCTGCGCTATCCTCACAATCACTGTTATGTTTGAGTCCACTGTTGCAGCCACTGTGTCGATCCATCTCATTGAGGGTCTTCCTCTTTTTCACTGACCCTCTACCTTACCAAGCATGATGTCCTTCTCCAGGGACTGGCCTATCCTGATAACATGCCCAAAGAACATGAGATGAAGTGTTGCCATCCTCACTTCTAAGGAGCATTCTGGCTGTACTTCTTCCAGGACAGACTTGTTCCTTCTTCTGGCAGTCCATGGTATATTCAACATTCTTGGCCAACACCTTAATTCAAAGGCATCAATTCTTCTGTGTTGGTTATCCAGCTTTTGCATGCATATGAGGCGACTGAAAATATCAGGGCTTGGGTCAGGCGCACCTTAGTCCTCGAACTGACATCTTTGCTTTTTAACACTTTAAAGAGGTCTTTTGCAGCAGATTTGCCCAATGCAATGTGTCATTTGATTTCTTTACTGCTGCTTTCATGGGCATTGATTGTGGATACAAGTAAAATGAAATCCTCGACAACTTCAATCTTTTCTGCATTTATTATGATATTGCATATTGGTCCAGTTGTGAGGATTTTTGTTTCCTTTATGTTGAGGTGTAATCCATTACTGACAGCTGTAGTCTTTGATCTTCATCAGTAAGTACTACAAGTCCTCTTCACTTTCACCATGCGAGGTTGCATCATTTGCGTATCACAGGTTGTTAAAGAATCCTCCTCCAATACTGAAGCTGCATTCTTCTTCACATAGTCCAGCTTCTCGGATTATTTGCTCATCATACAGATTGAATAAGTATGGTGAAAGGATACAACCCTGACGCACACCTTTCCTGATTTTAAAGCACGAAGTATCTCCTTGTTCTGTTCGAACAACTGCCTCTTGGTCTATGTACAGGTTCCTCAAGAGCACAATTAAGTGTCCTGGAATTCCCATTCTTCACAACGTTATCCATAACATTGTGATCCACACAGTCGAATGCCTTTGCATAGTCAATAAAATACAGGTAAACATCTTTCTGGTAGTCTTTGCTTTCAGCCAAGATCCATCTAACATCAGCAATGATATCCTTCATTCTATGTCCTCTTCTGAATCCGGCTTGAATTTCTGGCAGTTTATCTGTATGTATGTATGTATGTATGTATCTCTTATCTATCATCTATCTATTCTATCTAATCTATCTATCCACATATATATATATCTATATATATCTATATATGTATGTGTGTGTATTATAACTTCTAGAAAGAAGAATGGATGCAACAAGTGATTGTAATTTGTCTTTCCATAAAGATTTGTTTTGAGCAGGGGTTCTCAAAGTGTGGTCAGTGCCAGCAGCACCAGCATCATCTGGGAACTTGCTAGAAATGCAAAATTTCAGGCCCCATGCAGACCTGAATCAGAAACTCTGGGGTAGCTTGTTCTAACAAGCCCTCCAAGTGGGTTCTCATGCATGCTCATGTTTGAAAACCACAGGTCTAGAGGGTGGAGATGGTGCTGACCAGCTGATATGAGTATCCAGCTTGGGTATTCTTGCTATTAGTTTAGAAATTGATAGTCTAGTTTACATAGTGGTCTCCGGCAATTGTGGCTAACATGTACCACTCACAAATCTGCATGTGAAACTCCAACGGTGGTTAGAGTATGCAATATTTTTCAAACCGATGAGTTTATGAACTTTCTTTTTTATGGAGTATCTCCCAGAACAAGTGTTCCGTGGAGCCTATTTTGGTAAACATATCTCTGGGCCTTGCTGGTCCTGGAGTCCTGATGCTTTGATTTCTTGGGCACCAAGCAACCTTCTGATTATATTTTAGCTTCCCAGAAAGATTTCTTTCTTATGATTAGAGAACTACACTAAGGGTTCTTTGAACATTTCTCACTCTGGCAAACCAACATTCTGATACTTATGCCAGCCTTGCAAATTTGCTCACGGTGCTCTCTGAGTTATTCTTCAGGGTTTGTTTGTTTTTTCTTCCTTTGTTTCAGAATCTCTCTCTTCCTCTCATGAGCTGGGTAAGCCAAGAGTTGTGATCCCCATTTTACAGATGGAGAAAATGAGGCCCACAAGGGTAAAGTGGTGGTCTGAGGCAACACAGCTCAGTCGTGAAGGGAAGGAAACTAACAGAGTTCACATCCACGGGCCTCTACCTTAGGAGGTGGCATGCTAGGCAGTGTGTGATTTACAAACAGTAGTTGCTGCTGGGAAGCTGGTTGCCTCTGAAATTTTACAGGTCTCCTGGCTGCAATGGTTGAAGATTCTATGCTGTCCTCCCCAACCCTCTGGAGCCAACACAAACTCTGCATCAGCCTGGGTCATCTCCTTCCAAAACTGATCTCCATGTCTCCACTGCCCTAAACTGGTTCAGATCAGAGGGCAAACCCCTAGGACAATCTTCCACTCCAGCTCCAGATCCCCTACTGCCTCAAATAGTAAATGAAAAATACTTACCCCAGAGCTTCATTATTTTCTTTCAGCTCAAGTATTCTCTTCCTCAGAGACTGTATTTCAGAATCAATCCTTGTGATTTTCATATGTAATTCACTTATCTCAGAAAGATTTAATTTGCGAGCATCTCTGACACACTCTTAAAAGCGGAAATGTTACACAATTAATTGAGAAAGCATAATTGCAGACACTGACTTTTCAAATAATAAACAAATCATTTTCTAAAATATTCTTTTTATTATGTTCTGGTATCTGACACCTCCTACTCATCACCTTGGATCCTCTCAATCTCACCTATCAATTATTTCTCTTATTTCAGCTGCTGCTATGGTAATCAGCTTTCTATGGGCTGGAACAACTTCACACAGGTGCAGACTGATAGTACCTGGTTCCTGACTGTTCTGTGCACTTCTCAGCTCCTGGCCTAGGAATACCCAGTTGCCTCTACTGTGGGACTTCTTTAGACAACCCACAGCCGTGCATGTGTAAACTGGAAGTGTGGGAGGTTGGGCAAACATTTGACTGTTGGTAGACAGGATCCAACGCATAAATATCACTCCCTTTTCTAACACTGATGGATGGTCCTGTAAAGAGACCATACTATGTCTTGGGAGCATGGTCTCATAATCGATTAGGTGCATTTAGCATGGCCAGTCTCATAAGGCATTCTCCTATTGGCTCTCCCTTTTTCCCTGCTTTGGTCTCCTTATTCTACCCTTCTGCTCTTTGTATTGCACTCCCTAATAAAACAATAGTACAAAAGCCACTACCACAAGATTTGCTTTCTGAGGAACTCAGTGTATTAAAGAACTAATTATTCATCAATAAACAACAAATTAGTGTAATCACATAAGACTTCAGAGGATACTTCAATGCATGACAGATAGTCAACATGAATGAATTTTTGAACACTATTCAGAGGACTGGGCCACCCATTTCTATACAACAAATTCCACAGAAACTATCTGGTAGCTCCCCTGAGAGAGCTAGGCTATTCTTTCTAGTTCGTCTAGGCTACTAATTAAATTGTTCATTATATCAGGGCTTCTCAAACTTTGTGTCTCAAATATACATATGCATCACCTGGGGATCTTGTTGAAATGCAGGCTCTATACAGTGGGTCTGGGGAGGGCCCGAGAGTCTGCATTTCTAACAAGCTCTCAGGTAAAGCTGATAACTGCTGGTCCAAGGATCGCCTTTTGAGTAGCAAAACTTTATAACATAAAACGGAATCAGTTTACTTGGTTAAGAATTCAGTGTGTATCAAAAACTTTATAAGCTAATATGGTATTTTTTTCCTTCAAAAATGTTTTTATTATAAAAGAATATAATCTGGAAAATAAACAAAAGCAACCAAACAAAATAAAACAAAAACACCCATAATTCTGCCTTTGGTGCACATCCTTCTGAGTTTTTATTTTCTCTGCATATATAAATAGTCTGTTGTATTTTCTCTGTGAAACTAGACACCAAGCATATTGTTTTATCATCCACTGTATCAGTCAAGATCCAATTATACCAAAAAAAAAACAAACAAAAAAACCATTGCCATCGAGTCGATTCCAACTCACAGTTACCCTATGGGACAGAGTAGAACTGCCTCATAGGGTTTCCAGGGAGTGGCTGGTGGATTTGAATCGCTGACCTTTTGGTTAGCAGCCAAGCTTTTAACCACTGCACCACCAGGGCTCCAAGATCCAATTAGGAGACAGAAATCTCACAGTAAATTGATCAAGGAACATTTAATACAAAGAATTTTTAGCTATAACAGAGGATTAGAATAATGAGGAATTGGATAATATGTAAAAGAAGAGAACTCTAAATAATACAAAGAGCAGGAATAAGAAACCACTATCCTTGGGGCTAAGGTAAGAGCGCTCAAGGGAGAAGAATGCCAGGACTAAGATCCAGACTTTGTTGGAGAGGGCTGTGGCTCACTGGATGGCAAAGAAGTTAAGGTGCTTCACTGGTTTGCTCTTGGGGTATTGGGGAAATCTGTTCACAAGGAGGTACCATGCCTCAGAGCTCACTGCAGAACCACCCAAAGGGGTACTGGGAAAGTTGTTCATGGGGAAGTGCCTCATTAGTGGCACTCTACCATACAGCTGCCCAAGGGGATACTGGGGGAAGCTGCTGAGCACTGCAGACTGCTGTGTGCTACACAGCCTGGCACTGGGGAAGTCACATGCCCTGCAAGAGTGTGCCAAATGGAGCACACTGGAACCAAGAGAACTCCTTCCTTCTCCAGTATCCCTCCAGTGACCTCTACTGACAAAGTTTAACATTATGCTAGCTGGCAAGGGAAGAAATTTGCAGGGTCCAGCTCCATTATCACAGAGCAGACAATGAAGTGTAGGTTTCTAGCTGAGAGGAAATAAATGGATAACTATCATATCTATTTAATTTTTTTGGTGCTATTGTTTTTTAATCAGAGCACTGTTTTAGGTTGGGCTTTCCCGGAAATGGATTATAAAATTTGGGTGCAGAAAATTTCTGTGTAGTGTTCTCAGAAACACCTCCTGTGAAATAATAAGTGAAGGATGATTGGGTAAAGGGAGAGGTTGAACTGTGATGAACCTTGGAATTGGAATGACACTTCGGAGTTGTTCTGTATTGAGGCAAGGGAGCCAGGCCTTTGTATCCCCACACTGATCAATCACACTGTATGTGAACTGCATCTGGGGAGGAGATGTAACCTGGGGTGAATCTTCTCTTATTTTGTCAAGGGCAATTCCTGGGGAGGGACTCAGCCATGAGACTCAGCCAACATTCCTGGAAACTAGGGAAATGAGTGACTTGGTCCTGAAGGAGAATCTGGGCAGTGCAAACTAACAGAAAATAACACAAATTATAAGTGTATAGCTCAATGAATTATCATAACACACCCAGTAACCACCACGTCAAGAAAAGAAAATACTATCAGCACCTCAGAAGCTTCTTTGGTATCCCCTCTCCCTATAACTACCTTCTTGACTTTTAACCCATAAATTTGACCATTTTAAAATTTCATAGAAATGGAATCATGTAGTATGTATTCTTCTGAACGTGACTTTTTGTTCAATATTTATAAGATTCATTCATATTATTATGTGAAATTGTACTTTGTTCATTTTCATTGATGTATAGTAATCTGTCATATGAATATCCCATAATGTATTTATTCATTTGACTTTTGAAGGGCATTTGGGTTGTTTCTGATTTTGGCTATTAAGAATATTGCTGTTACATCTTTTGGTGTGCATGTACATGCATTTCTTTTGGGTATATATCTAGGAGTGAAATTGCTATGTCTTGAGTATTTTGATGTTCCATTTTAATAAATAATGTCAAATAGCTTTCCAAACGATTTTCCCAACTTACACTTCCACCAATGGTGATGAGATTTCCTGCTGCTTTACGTCCTTGTCAACAATCGGAATTGTTACTTTTTACTTTTAGGCAGTCTGGTGGATGTGCAGTGACACAGTGAAACCTGTGAGAGCTGGAACTCAATGGGACTGCCTTGTTTTTCCAGGTCTTGCAAGTTTTCCACTTTTGACAGGGTGCAGTCTTACCACTTTTATATCACTCTCTATTAATGGAAAATAGTTGAGTTTTCCTTCTCTGACAGGCTTCCATCTTACAAGGTTTCTGGCTTCCACAGGTTTTACTGTGTATCATTTTGTTGGTAGTTTGCATATCTTGTTTACTAATGAGATTCAGCAGTGTTTCATATGCATACTGGTCATTTAATTTCATCTTTTGTGAATTGCCTTTTCAGTTCTCTTGCTAATTTTCTATTGTGTTGTCTGTTTTTTTCTTATTGATTTTTAAAGAGTTCTTTATATTTTTTTAATACAAGTCCTAAATTGGTTATATGTGTTACAAAAATTATCTCCCATTCAATAGCTTGATTTTTCACTCTTTTAATTATCTCTTTTAATGAAAAGATTCTTAATTTTAAAGTAGTCTAATCTATCAATATTTTCCTTTATGATTAGTGCTTACAATATCCTGTTTAAGAAATCTGGAGTACTGGAAAGTTGGCAGCATGAGCAGGTCCAACATCCCAGCACTCCCACATGAGCACCAAAACCAAGCAACTAGAAATATGTAACCTCAACTCTGTAAGAACTCTGAAAAAGTAGACAGTGGATTGTAACAATAACTGTAAATTGGAACAAGAAAAAGGTGACTTTTAAATGGTTGGAAAACCTCTTTTTCTACTGTCCTATTCCACTCCCTTCTTGGTGCAGCAAACAGGCCGCTGCAGGAAAGCCAAACCATGGTTTGTGTTTACAAAGAAAGGGCCCCAGTCTCTGGCTCTGAAGTGAATAGACTTTGCTGGTAGACTCTTCAGTGTGTCTATTCTGATCTGTCTGGGAGATGTCTGAAGGATTAAACCCTTATTCTGGCCCGAATTGGAACTTTCCCAGGGTTGGGGGATAAAACGGCGAGCAAATATTGAAGGCTGCGCCTGTCTAAGAGTTTCTTGCAGAAATTAGCACTTGCAAAAGCACTGTATATAAAAGGGAATTGAGAAGATAACACATTGTAATATTCTAAAGTCCCAGATTAAACAAAGAATAACAAACCACACAAAGAAACTGTAAATGATGGCCCATTGAAAAGAATAAGATGAAGGAAGAGAAACTGTCTCTAAGGAAGCCCACATAACAGACAGATTAGAAGACTATAAAACAACACTATTAAACATGCTCCAAGAACTACAGGAAAACATAGACAAAGGACTAAAGTAAATCAGGAAAATGATACATGAACAAAATGACAATATCAATAAAGAGATAGGTGCTATAAAAATGAACCAAACAGAAATACTGGAGGTGAAAAATACAATAACTGAAATGAAAAACTATGTGGAAGGACTCAGCAGCAGATCTGAGCTGGCAGAATAAAGAATCAGTAAACTACAGGATAAAGCAATAGAAATTACTGAGGCTGAAGAGTGAAAAGAAAAAAGGATCGAGAAAGTTGAGTAAAGTCTGATAGAATTTTAAGACACTACTGAGCAAGCTAACATGTGCATCATGGGAATCCCAGAGTGAAAAGAGAGACAGAAAGGAACAGAAAGACTATTTGAAGAAATAATGGCAGAAAACTTAACAAAGTTGATGAAGGACATGAATCTACAAATCCAAAAAAGCTCAACAAACTCCAAGTAGGATAAACCCAAAGAGATATGGACAGAGGCACATTGTAATCAAACTCTCAAAAATCACAGAGGCTCCTGAAAGCATCAAGGGAGAAGCGAACTGTCATATATAACTGATCCTTAATAAGATTAAATCCCAATTTCTCCTCAGAAACTTTGGAAACTAGAAGGCAATGGAATGACATATTTAAAGTGCTAAAATAAAATAACCATCAGCCAAGAATTCTATATCTGGCAAAACTGTCATTCAAGAATGAGGACAAAAGTAAAACATTCCCAGATAAACAAAAGCTGAGGGAGTCTGTGATAACTAGACCTGCACTACAAGAAATGTTAAAGGAAGTTCTTCAGATAGAACTGAAAGAGCACTAGACAATAACTCAAAGATGTATGTAGAGGGGGAAAAAAGATCTCTGATAAAGGTAATCTCATGGGAAAAATGTAAGGGCGAGTTTTGTGGTATTTTGGTTTGTAACTTTAGTGGTTATGTCCTACATGATTCTAAAAGACAAATACATAAAATATAATTATAAATTTACATTATTGAGCACATAATGTATAAAGATGTAATTTATCAAAACAAGAATATAAGCGGGGAAAGAGAGGTATAAGAACAGAGTTTTTGCATGCCACTGAAGTTAAGTTGGTATCAATTTAGACTAGGTAGTTATAAATTTAAGATGTTACATGTAATTCTCATGATAATCACAAAGAAAATATCTAAAAAATATACTAAGAAAGGAAGGACAAGGGAATCAAAATGGTTCACTACAAAAAAATCAACTAAAAACAAATGATGACAACATTGGAGGAAATGAGGGACAAAGAAGGCACAAGACACACACATAAAAACAAAGAACAAAATGGCAGAAGTTCTTCTGTATTGATAATTACTTTAAATGTAAATGAATTAAACAATCAAAAGGCAGAGAGAGGAAGAATGGACTAAAAAAAAAAAAATCTATATACCGTCTACAAGAGTCACATCTTAGGCCCAAAGACACAAGTAGATTGAAAGTGAAAGAACAGAAACCAAAAGAGAGCTGGGGAAGCCATACAGATATCAAAGTAGATTTTAAGTCAAAATCTGTTGTAAGAGACAAAGAAGGACATTATATATTCATAAAAGGGTCAGTTCAGGAAGAAGATACAACAATCATAAATATATATGCACCTAACAACAGAGACCCAAAATATGTGGCACAAACACTAACAGAATTGAAGGGAGAAATAGACAGTTCTACAATAATAGTTGGAGACTTCAAAACACCACTTTCAATAATGGACAGAATATCTAGAAAATATCAGTGATGAAATAGAAAATTTGAAGAACACTCTAAGCCAACCAGACCTAACAGATATATATAGAATACTCAACAGCACAATACACATTCTTCTCCAGTGCATGTGAATCATTCTCCAGGACAGACCAAATGTTAGGTAACAAAATAAGTCACAAAACTTAAAAAGACTGAAATCATGTAAAGTATCTTCTCCGATCCCAATGAAATGAAACTCAAAATTAGTAACAGAAAGAAAAATGGTTACTGGGGCAAGTGGGAGGAGGAAAGGAGGATTTACTGCTTAATGGGTACTGAATTTCTGCTAAGGGTGATAACAAATTTGGAAATGGATAGTGGTGATGGTTGTGCAACATGATGAACATAATTAATGTCACTACATTCTACAAGCAAAAAGTGTTGAAATGGCAAATGTTCTGTTATATATATATATATATTTTACCACAATTTTAAAAAATGCAAATAAAATCTTTCCTTTCTCCAAGGACATGAAGATATTTTGCATTATCTTCTAAAAACTATTTTCAAAAATTTTATCTTTCACATTTAGACCTAAACTTCACCTGGAATAAAATTTTTGTGTGTGGTGGAGGTAAGGTCACATTTCACTTATTTTTTATATATAGATATCTAACTGATACATAACTATTTATTGATAAAACTGTCCTTTCTCCACTGCTTTATAGAGCAATCTTTATCATAAATTAAATATTCATACATAAATACGACTGTTTCTGAATTCTCTGTTCTGTTCCACTCATCTGTTTGTCTATACTTGCACCAAAATCATACTGCCTTAATACCACAGCTATATAATAAATCTTGTTATCCCGAATGTAGTATCTTTCACGTAGTTCATCATTTTCAAGACTGTTAAGACATTTGGCCCTCTGTATTTTCAAGACTGTCTTTACATTTGGCCCTTTACATTTCCATGGACATTTTAGAATCATTTCCCACAAAATAACCTGCTGGGATTTTGATTGGTGCATTAAATCCAAAGGTCAATTTGTGGAGAATTGACATCTTTATAGTACTGAGTTTTCCACCTTACAAACATGATACATCCTACCATTTATCTAGGTCTTCTTTAATTTCTTTCAACAATGTTTCACAGATTTCTGTTTATAGGCCTTTTACATGTTT